CCCCCCCCCCAAAGCACAACAAACAAGATCATAACAATATCAAACTTCATAAAGTGCAAGCCTACAATATCTTAATCATCGTAACTGTCAACACAAGGAAACGTGGAGGTTGATATTACAATGAAAATAGAAGAAAATGTATAAACGGCTCACTTTCCCAGACAAATGTAAAATGGAGAAAGCAGTGGCAGTTTTCATCTGCCTTTCTTCAAGTCCTTGGAAAAGTTGGAATGTAACATCTTTAGAAAAATGGTGAAGAAACAAGTCGGCCTCATGAGCTCCTCCTTAATTTCAGCTTCATTATTTCATTACACATTTGATAGACTTACTAAGTACTGAACAAACACATCTGTGCCAAAACATCACTTTACATTATCTGTACACATACTCAATGTCAATAAATATAACAAACACTAAAAACAGTGTTCTTCTTATCTTTTTTTTTTTTTCAGTTCAAAAATCTTAAATTCCAACCAGACTTTGGCTACTTCCTGTATCGATATTAGCGTTATTTGAACGTTTTGGTAGAGGGCAGTTAACTGTCAGCTGGTTTCGCTATCAGCATCACTACAATGGCCTGTGCAATCACTCCCCCTGCTGGTGCGAGAGTTATAGAAGTCACCTATGGCAACAATTCAGCGCTTTTTTTGTACCTCACTTCAGCTTTTCTCATTTTGTGGTATATTTTTGAGTGGACATGAGCCGGGTGATCTTGATTCAAAATATGAATACTGTCAAACAAAGTTAAAAGGCTCAGGCTGGCGAGTAGTCATTGTATGCTGGACAAAAAGATAGCTAAAACTGAAATTAGTAACTAAAATGTAAATATATTATATTGGGTGTGACTAAGATGAAGGCTGGTGATATTATATATTTTTTTATATATTATTTCTAGCAACTTATGAAAATCCCAAACCAACACTGAATTGTATCTTACTAAGCAAGTAGCGTGTGTGTACCAAGTCTGTTCCATAGAGCTCCATTGTTTGTCGCATTGAAACTCATCAGTGAGGCCGCCACTGTTGCAATGGCTGACTGTTCCTTTTACTAGCATGAAGCACACACATGTAGTTTATTTTATACACGTTCCTGCTTGCCCAAATACTTAGAGCACCAATGTTGGATTAATCCGGCACTGAAAAGAGTTCTGACAAAACGCACTATTTTTTTCTGTTGAAGCTGCGTAGGTATAATTTTATTAAAAATAAGTTTTTGTCATATTTGCTGAAACTTTTCCTATATCCTGAACAGTAGAACATTGAAAGAGCAGATACTCTGATCCATCAGGCCCGAATGAAAACAATTACTCAGAGCTAGGATAGTTGATTGTTAATTTTCATTCCAAGGTTGTTAAATATTGATGTTGGGAATGAGACATCTTTTAATCTTACACGGCCCTGATCGGTTGTTTTCATTCGGGCACAGTGAATTCTTGCAAATGCCATTAGGAGCACTAATACTTTCTTTCACAGATAGAGATAGTTGATTGTTGAGTCTCATATTCATGGTCCCAAAGCATCTGTATTTGATGCCCTGTGAATAAGACTCACAGTGAATTCTTGCAAATTAGGAGCTATTACTTAAGAGCTCTAGATGAACCAGAGGAACCAGATTTTTTGATTATATGTCTCATGTACTACTATCAGGATGTAGTGAAAGTTTCAGTAAATATGACCAAAAAATTATGAAGACGGCAGCTTTAAAAACGATAGTGACCGGCACTAGGTTGCACCAGCTAACCAGCTAACCAAATCAGCTACTAAAATTTGTTGCGCAGCGATTACTTCACATCGTAGTAAGCTAAATCGACACTGAAATATCACATCAATAAATTAGGTCAATGTGTCGCAAAATGGCTCCAATTAATTAAAAAAATGATGTTGTATGGCAGAAGAACTTTTGTTTTACCACCAGTGAGTATAATTCTGTGACATTTTATGATTACCCTATGGACATGTGTAACTATTTGTTATTAGAGTTGCAGCCGTTTTAGGATGAAAATGAAACTATATAATGTTTAAAAATTAGCATCTTCAGTAGGAACCAATGGGCTTGAATAACAGGCAGTGTAGGGGGGATGTGTTGAGAGACGGATTAACCTATTGTTGATTTTGGTCTTTGGTCTTTAAATGATACAAATAAAAAACAACAGCCTTATCCTTTACATTAGAGGAGATTTCGTGGCAGTGTGGCTATTTGATTATGAGACATCTTGTGTGCAAACTAACATTCTGGACTAAGAATGGCACTAACGGTCAAAGGGTCAATCAGAAAATTCTTCATCTGGGGAGCATGGACAGCCTAAGTTTTGAAATTTGGTTAGTAGTTTTGAAGATACTTCGTAACCAAATGTTTAGACGTGTATCAACATGTTTAGGAGATTCAGTTACTGTATTACTTTAAATATCCATCTTCAGCTTGAAGTGTTGGACGGAGACCTGCTGACAGACACTGCTATTGTTGAGCCCCTCTGCTAGTGGGACAAACATTACAGTTACAATAGTACCTATTCTTTATTAAACAGGTAAACCTGGCACCAGTTTGACAACAGACTACTGAAATGCTACTTTCTCTGGGAAGTGCCTGCTAGAACAGAATTTGTATATTCTAAAATTTCAGATCAAATTTTCTGTGATCTTATACTTTGATTAAATGCTAAATATCTTACCGATTTTTTGGGCGCTGTGGGAAATTTCAATTGGAGACAGAAATGGAAGGAAGAGAGTGAGGGATGAATGATGATAAAGGTCCTGGGCCATATTAGAACCCAGGGCATCACAAAAAGTGTCTTTAACCACTGATTGAAAGCAATGCCAACTGACCCTTCCTAAGTCCCTTTTGGAACCTCGGTCAACTTCTTCCTTGCCTGTACTTAGATATACTATGCGCTAGGCTAATCTATGTTGAAAAGAAAAACACATTTTGAAGATGGTTAAAAGATAAAAGCATCATGTGTTGCTTAATGTTAACAAAACGCTTGCTAATTAGCTACGTATCTAATCTATATTAATTGTTAGTCTGCTAGCGTTTTGTTAACATTAACTATTAGATGTAACCATCTAGCTAAGAATTTGTTGATTGGTAGCTAGCTAGCTAACAAGTGTTTTGTTCTGTATCAAATCGCTAGCCAAATAGCCAGCTAACTAGCTAGCTAATGACTGATGTAGATTAGCTAGCTAGTTAGCGGGTGTTTTGGATACAATAGCTAACTTAAAATGTGACTATACTATGTAGCTTTTATCTTTCAACCGTCTTTAAAGTTGACTGAGCTTCTGTCTGAGACTTGCTCAACTGTTATTGGAGAACAAAGTGAAAAGGGGTCAGAAAGAAATTGTTCTCAACAGTTAAAGTCAGCCATGTTTGTTGCTGCTTGTTCATTCCTCCTCAGCTCCAATCAGGTTGACTCTCTTTTCACTACATTTGGATTTTTTGGCAGCATCAGTAAGCTTGAAACAGTGCATCAAAGGCAGAAAAGTAAAATTCCATGAAGCCGACATGTTGGGAAAGTAACATGGCTGCAGTTCACAAAACTACACGTTATGTGTAGTTTATACAGAAGCAAGCCAATGATGTTCCATTCAACCTGTACAACCAGCACGTCACATGATATCCTGTTATCATTAAGGTTACTGAGGTGTTTTGGCTAGTCATTTAAAACGGAATGGTGTGTATACTATGTTAGCCTTTCACTAAGCCATCTTCTCCATTAACAAACTAAATTGTCTTCATTTGTTGACTCAATTAGAAATGTACAGGTCCATGCAACACATGCACTGGTTCCATTTACATCCTAACCCCATGCCATTTTAAAACCTACAAGACTTTTTAGACCCTCTAAAGGTGGAGGCCATCCTTTCTGGATAAAAGAACAAAATGGATACATTTCTTTGCCTTTTTTTGCATGCAAATACAGCACAGTGATGTGGAAAAGGAACAGCTATCACTTTCAAAACACACAAGGCCGAAACAATGGACGATTAAAGGTATTAGTTGGATTGCTGGTTAATGATATGTGATATGTGTGATGTCTTTACAACCAATGAGGGCCTACAATACACAACAGAACATGACCTCATGCACCTCAGCGTGCTACACGTTAAGCTGTTATACAGCAAGCACTGTTTGGCAAATACAAAAATCCAGACCACTAATAATATTTTTGGTGAAATCTTTAAAATTCCAACCTAGTGTGCGAATCATGTGCTAACATTATACTTGTTTTAATATTAAAGCTGCAGTAGGTACTTTTATAATCATGCTGCTAGCAGCATGTATAGCCTTGTTTTGAATATTTAAATGCAGTAGTACTTTATAAAAAAGAACTGTCATGAGTTTGCTGAAGAGCGGTTTCAGCTGAGTATCGCTGACAGTATGAGCATGAGACAAGATACGTCTGTGAAATAATCAGGTTCCTCTGTTCTCCTTAGTGGCGTCCTACTGGCTATTTGCAAGAATCAGCCCCGGGGCCATGAAGCGGAAACAAGCAATCAGGGCGACAGAAACAGGATAGGGTTGAATGTTGAAATTGTCCATTCCCCAGGTGGTGTCAATAGGTTGTGAAGGTGTGGTTGAAATGGGAGAGCTGCCACCATGCCAGGCCGAAAGCATCGTTTTAGATACTTCCTTTGGGCTCTGGATCTGGTTGTTTCGTTTCAGGGGCCGGTGAATTTGCAAATGCCATTAGGACACTGAGGAGCCAGAGGAACCTGGTTGTTTCACAGATTATCTGTCTCATGTTCTACTGTCAGGATATAGTGAAAGTTTCATTAAAAATATGACAAAAAGTATTTTTTTATTTTTTTATTAGCTATTGCAGCTTTAATGGCTTTGTTTAGCACTGTGTTCACTCTCAGCACCACCCTGCTTTGCCTTCATACAGATAGATAAAGTCACACCTGGAAGGTGCCCAGTATTTTTCCATTCTCTATCCTTTAGGCGTACACAACCTTTACTCTAACAAACAATGATAATTATTTAAAAAACCAAGACTGCCAACTTCTTTACAATTATCTGACATGAGGAATAAAGTTAGAGGCTGCACTTTTTAACCTTACATCTGGATGGGTGAACGGTGAGGTTGAAAAGTGATTTGCAACCTCTCACTTGTTGGTTTACTCTTCTTAAATGATGCTTATATTTACGAACTGAGACTCAAAATGGGGATTTTACACTGTGTTAAACTCTCTGGCTTTATCTATGTGAACATTTAAATGTTGCAGTAACATTTGCTTCCACAAGTAACAATTAAATGCAGGACACAAACTATGTGCTGAATCAGTTATTTCATTACCTGTAAAAAACACAGAAAGACAGCTGTGAGGGCTCTGGTAGTTGAGTCTGTATGTACACGTATGCCATTTTGCCCTGTGTGAGGATGTTAGTAGGCTTCCAGTGAATCGTCCCAAAATAGGCTCTGCACGTCCAGCATGGTCGCCAGCTCCAAAATATGCTTCTGTAGAAGGCTGCTTTCCACCGTGTCCTGTTTGGGGAGCTCGGGGTACGATTCCGGGAAGCTCCGGGACTCCTACAAGCACAACATCAAACACCTCTAGTCCCACAGATATCACAACAAACATACTCTGAAGGAATACTGTTCAATAGCAGAAAAGGTGTTTCTGTTACTACTAGCTGCAATGAATTGTGGGGTATTTCACTGTGGACACAGGTCTCAACTTGAAAGGACCTTGCAAGCACATTCTCTTTGTTTCAGCCCTCCATCCAAACTAAACAGCCCAAAAACAGAGCAAACAGTTTCCAGAAGGCACAGATCTCAATAAGTGGCCAAGGTGCCTGTGGCTCAGAGGCACCTAATCGGAAGGTTGTTGGTTCGATCCTGGCTCCTCCTGCCACATGTCAAGTATCCTTGAGCAACGATACGGACCCAACATTGCCTTCCTGATGCTGTGCTCGGTGTTGTGAATGTGTATGATGAGTTAGTTTATGGACTTCGATTCTGAAAGGGTGATGAGTGGTCAGAAGACTAGAAAGTTGCTATACAAGTACAGGTCCATTTACCATTTACAAATAAATTAGCTACTTGTCCACTAACATTTATTAAAAGGTAAAGACAACTCAAAATTGTGAATTTGTAGCTAACCGTGTTGGTGTTCTGGCCATCAGCTCTTAGAATTGTTTATTTCATTATTTCATCTTTATTTCCTGGTTTTTGTATTTTTTGTTGGACAGAGTTTAGTCACAGAAGGGGAAACCTCCCAGGAGGTTGATTTCAAGTGATGAAGAAAAAGGATATCTGTGTTCTGGGCTCATATTTACAGTTTATGGCTGTGAGATTCCTCTGTTATCTTTACACTGCTTGCCATGTTTGGTATAGCCAAATGTTTTTGTAGTCTCTTATTCTGTTTTCTTTTGCATCTAACTGAAATGCCCATACTGTTCTGGCATCTGGACTTGAGTGTGAAATATCTATTTGATGTTTACTGTAACATTGAAAGCTTTGCACAGTATATCACATGTATTCCTACAGATATGGAAAAACATTCTAAATTAGGTTTACTGTTCCTTTAACAAGCACACTGTTGGTTAATGCAAACCCAAGTGAATAAAGTAAAACTAACTAAGCTCTCTAACTTTACAACTGTGGCTTTGACCAAAGAAAAGCAATGAGTGTGCAACCTTCTATTTTAAGTGATAACCATCTATAAAGACCAAACTACAGATCTAATGAATAAAATGAAAAATAAATGTTTCATTGTTTTTTTAGAACACAAATTGCAGGAGTTGCTCTTAAAGATTAAACCTTCATTTTTTTTTATTCCTACAGCTTGGGAGTGTGATGCGATAGTGGTCAGCAAACCAGCTTGTAGGTGTTTTACCAGCAGTACCTGTGCTGGTGTAGCTCTGAATATAGTGTGCATCAAGTGTGTTCAGCGTATTGTGTGTTGGCATTTTTCCGAAGAGGGACACACTGAGAGCCTGATGGTACGTGTTAAGTGCCCGAGACCACAAGCCTAGGTACTGGGACAGCCCCTAATCTTAATCACACAATTACATATTTTTAGCATTCAAATAAGCAATTCCACAGGAAAACTGCAGCAGCAGTAACTTACCCGGAACAGTTTATGCAGCCTCAGTGCAGCGGAGCAGAACACGAAGCGGATGAGCAGCAGCCGGAGGAACTCGTCACCGAAGAATTGTAAAAAGGCTTGGTCTGTGAAGACAGTGAAAACAAGCAGGTGATTATTATCCACTGACTTCATGGTCCACTCTGATCTTCCCAAGACACTGGCAGACATGACAGAAACTATGGGAGATATGCTACCTATGGTCCGTGATCGAGTTATCATCTGCCCAATGTCACGGTAGACTTTACGAAGAAATTCTTGAGCCCTCTCCCACAGTCCTCGTCGCACGCTGCTTAAGCCGCACACCGAGGAGAAAGCCAGGAGAGGGCTGTAGAGGAACAGAGTGAAGAGACTCCCACGCTGAGACTGATCTGAATAGGGAAGCACAGGTAAGAGGTGAGAACATCGGACACATTTTCTCTCCATGATCATATAAACACAGTGCCTAAAAAACTAAACTTCTTCGTTCAGTGAAAAACTTTCAAACTGATGATATGATTTAGCGTGCATGCGTCTGTTATTGTCTGTGCTACTATGCACATGAATCATCACAGCATGTGTGTAAATTTTACCTGGCACAGAATCAGATATACATGAGACTCATAGGTCGGTCATAGCCGATCAAGCTGTAAACCGATCAATCAGTGCATGTCTATACTAAAAACCTCACTTGCAACAATGTAAGAATATAACAACAATGACATAAAAAGATCTAGCTGTGTGTGAAACATAAAACACTAATGAAACAATGGTCTGACTTTCGAACTATAATATGTATTCATAGGTTTTCCAGATTGTTGTTAACTTAAAGCAGGTGCCTAGTGATAGTCAATATTTTTTTTGTTTTCAACAACTCCCATGTGCAGAGCCAAACCAACACTGAGCTCCATTGTCCAAAAACTATTAAAAACACATCAGTGAGCCACACTGTACTGGCTGGACTGTTCGTTGATTACCACGAAGAGACACACTGTAGTTTATTTATACACCATCCTGCTGCCCCAAATACTCACTCTAGCAGCAAATGTGGATTCATCCACCGCTGAATATAGTCCCCAACTAATGCCCTATTTCCTCATGTTTGAGTAAAGTTTTTTCATAGGAAAATCTTATCTTCTATCTTACTATATCTTATAATCTTACTATAAATATAAAGAACCAGTGGGTTTGGAGGTGAGAGTCACAGATTCAGAAGTCAGACTAACACATTGTCACCACCAGCCTTATCCTTTAATGAACTGTTGTTCCAGAGTGACACACACCTTGTACACTCTTGGGATATACTGTAGGTGATAGTAGGCACACCAGAGGCTGGCCAAACAGATTTGTGAAATTCTATTAGGATAAACAAAAGACAGAAGAGGGCATGTTAATTACAAGAATATACATTCACAGTGTGACATCAAATCATGATACCAAAATAAACTCTTTGTTCATTGTATGCATTTTTTGTTTGGTTTGTGTGATTTTATTCATCATTTCTTTACCAAAGACATTTGATTTTTATTCACATTCAAATTCCAATGTCTGAATATCTTTCTTAATTAAAAGTTCATTGCTCTTTTGAAAGGGTGTACTTGCATTAGAATCAATATATCAGTGGCATAAAATGACAATGATGATCGTCCAGCAAAAAGAGTTATAGTGACAGGCCCAACTGCACTGCTTTCATACTAGGGCTGCACAGTTATTCAAAATATAAGCTATATTATCGAATATAGACAAGTGCAATATGCAAATCACAGAAGCTGCAATTTGTTTGATTAAGGTAAACTGTGACAAACAGCATTATAATGAAGTACTGTAGTGCTGCAGAGATACCCTGGTCTGCAAATCTAGCTTTTTGCCTTTACTGGATAGGATAGCTGAAGACTGACAGGAAAGGGGGTTCAGATTTGAACCCATGGCCGCAACAGCAAGGACTCAACCTTGATGATTCTCAGGAAAGTTCTGGAGTTATGATGTCTTACTTAAATGCAATTATATCATCAGAAAATACGGGTCACACTGAATCTAAAAATGTGTGTTCAGATTTGAGTTATGACTCAGAGAAGAGGTAGGATTTTTGACGCAAATTATGGCAATCTGACAAAAACCTCAGATGTAGATTTTTTTTTGGGGGGTGGGGGCAGGTTAACTTAACCAATATACGTACCTTGTAGGCTGTGCTGTTTGAAGAATCCACAATAACAAAAAGTGGCTTCCGGGTGAAAGGGAATAAGTCTCCTGGATGAAGGCTGCAACATTGAAAACAAGTAAATGTCAGGAAGTCACATTTCTATCCCAGCAAGTGGACTGTAGTGGGTTGTATCTGCTGCTGGTTGTGTACACATGGTGAGAGTTTCTGAGCTTGTTATTAACACAGAGAGTGGGCAGCAGTCAGACGTCAGACTGAGTCAGATGTTATTTGGCATTAGTCACAACAAGCAAAAGTAAAAGACTTGATTTTCCTCTTGGGTTAGTTCTAGCAATGGCCAAGTCACTGTGAATACAGGGAGCAAGAGAAGTTGTTGTTCACATTCAAAGCCATTAACACATTTGGAAATATTTCACAATATAGATAAATAATCTCTCACCAGTGCATTTCTTTCTGGGCCTGATTCCTCTTCTGCACCGTCTCTCCGTTCACCACATCTCGATTTGTATTTGTGAGAACTCCTCCAAAATCATACGGTCCTACAGGGAACGTTCAAAGATAAAAGCTTAATTGCTTCAACTTAAAAACACATGGTAGATGGTGACATGTAGATCACATTGCACCCGACAGAACTATCAACCAGACATTGGCTTGTAGAAGGGCTGTGTGTTGGCAGGAATCTGGTAATACAATAGAGCAGTGACAATTCAATATATTGCGATACTGTAAACAAGGTGATTTTTGTCTTGTGAAAATCTGACTTTAAAAAAAAGCTTACTTTTTTTTGCAACAAGAACATAAAAATCGATACATAGT